ATCAAATGAGTGCAAAGGTGGTGCAGTTTAGGTTTCAAATGTGTGGGTCCGCGCATCGATCATGTTGAGTTTGTTTCAGTTGAAAAAACATTCTTTTAAATGTTTCATCATTGTTCTTAGTTTGCATTTGTTCCCAAAGAGATGGCCTCGATCGCACGTGATTTATTGTTCGGTGAGTTTAGTTTTTGCTCATTTCGAAACATAATTCGGGATTCCCGAAAGCATCTTCTGCAAAGTTCATTTGTAGATCAAATATTTATAGAGTAAATCTGGATCCATTTTGATTCCAATAGGAACATTGTCTTATGTATTTGTTTTCATTATTATTGATTCACGTTTGTTACCCTGTGGGATGACCTCGATCACGAAGGTACGCGTGATGAGTTATGATTTTGTTCGTGTTCAAACATGATTAATTTAAGGGGGAACTCAATGACGTGATCGCGATTGAGCGTGCAGGCTCGCCACATACACGATTAAATTTTGAAGTGTTGTCCTGTGCGTACGCGTCCTCCCTAAAACGATCATAAGGGCCTTGGTGGAAAACTGCCCGTTGTTAGGGTGGGTCGTGTTCGTTGGTTTTCGACCAGCAGCTCGCTTAAGTGTTCGTGAAATATTACGGTAAGAGTCGATTGAGAAAGGGGCACGCTTTTGTGCCGTCTGGTGCAGATATGTGCAAAGGTTTTAGACCTACATGATGTTGCGTGATACAGATGCATCGATGGTTGTGATGCTGAATAGTAGCACATAGTCACGCCACTCCTACGAATTGTAAAGGAAATCTAAAATCATTTTTTTGTGTATGCCTTCGCTGCTGTGGTTTTCTTAATATCATAATTGCGATGATGTCATTCATTTTGTGGCAGTCATTTTTACTTACTAAATAGAAGACCTTTGTTTTTTATCACAGGTCCCTTTTACATTATTTCAACTCAGATCGCATCATTTGCCTACCACACTCTTAGAAAAATTCATGTAAATTTAGGTGCTCTGAGACTGACTTATACGAGCGTCAAATAGCTCAATCAAACATGCTTTTCGTCGAGTAACGAACTTTTCAGTCTCGGTGCACTTAATTTTACATGACTTGTTTGTTTACGTCGCATTCTTTATATCAAAGATGGATTCTGTCACGTTTAAAATTAGGTATTTCTAAGTGTGCAGCTATCAAAAGATCAAAAGTATTATTCGCGTCAATTTCGGAAAACAATACATTATATCTAAATTATGATCGCATCACACAAGGTCCCCAAAACAACAAAGTTCAGTCTAATATTCGTTAACGCTTGAATTTATTCAACAACGAAAATATGAAGTCACTGAAACTTGTACAAGGAGTTTGGAAAATCTCAAATCTCAGATTATTCACCATCGAGTTTTGCCAAACAAAAATCATCAATGATTTTTCAAATTAAAACATCAATTGCTATATATTTTTGCGTTATTCATTGTTTTAGTGTTGATTTTGTATCAATGGATGGAAAACATACAAAACTTGCATAAGCATGTCATCAATTAACGTTTGAGCGGTTTTTATGAGATTTAAGCTGTAATGAGTTTTTGGCGTTGTGAGCGTGAGTGCGTAAAAATGCATGAGAATCTCAAGCGTGAGAATGGCTTTGCAGATTCGCATGCGAGTTTATTCTCTCGGGAGAGCTCAATGAATGAGATTTGAAAATGATTTTCCGAACACTGACAATTGATATTGAACGGTCACTCCCAGCTCCGTTCAGTTGATTCATTGTACAGTTTCACTGATTCTCAGGGCTGTTACAACAGGCGCGGATTTCACGATTTTCACGGATTTGTCGCGGATTTGAACTTTAAGTCGCGAAAATCGCGGAAACATTAAATGATGTCGCGAAAATCGCGAAGGGACTGATGTGCTGTCACAAACATTGTGGAATTCATTGTAACCTTTCCATTCCGGATTATTTTGCTGTCATCAATTTTGTTGTTCATTTGGCTCTCAATTTTTACCCGTTCAAACCAAACACCTTGCAAATAATCGAGAAATGATCTAAATTCCATTAGTTCTGGCTAAAAAATGTTTAATGAAATTGTGGAACAATGAGATATTATGATAATATTTTGTTTGTGTAAACATCAAAAAAATATTGTGAAGTTTGTGTTTGACACATAATACCAGCCAATCTTGCTACATGAGAATCGCAATAAGCGATTTTGTCATTTATCTCATCCACTATTCGCTTTTCACTTTTCTCGAAGAGGTGATCAGAAAATCGCTCATTGTGACTCTGTCAAAGCTAAATTTCAGGTTTTATGTGCCAAACACAAACTTTACAATCTTTTCTTGTTACTTACACATTCAAAATATCATCATAATATCTTATTATTCCATAATTTCATAAAACATTTTATTAGGCAAAATGAATGGAAGGTTATTATCCAAGTCTTTTTTGATCTAGTTAAACAGATCATCTAAACTGCAGGACGATTTGGAGAACCTAGACCGTCTGGTATACGTAGAAATAATTAAACATAATCCATATAGACACTATGAATCTGTTTGGACATTTTTCGATACTACAGACATTATTGCAGTCTTAGTTGATCTAGTAGAACGAATCAACTGATGTCCTGGACGGTTTGAAAAACCTTTAATTTCCGGTATACATAGTAATAAGTCGTGCATGATACACAAAGCCACATATACTTAACATGAACAAATTCTCTTTATTGCAGAGTATCGTCTACCAAAACGAACCCAACCCTTATATCCAACATCCCAGTGATTTCTCGTGGAAGAGTAGAGGATTTCTATGCTTAGTACAACACGAGTTTTCACGTCAACATATACCTACCCATTCCTCAATTGACCTGCATTGTGACGCGGCCGGCGCTGGTATTGCCTTTTAAAGGTATGGGGTCACCCGTTTTTACACATTGAAGGTGAATGCTAGTCCCAACCATCATCTGTTGGTTCCCTGTGCAATTACAGCAAATCTGACAGTAACGGAGTAGCAGACGCGGGCGGTCAATCATGCTCATGCCCATATTTCATGCAGCTTCTACCAAAGCTCTGACAGGTTCGTATTGATGTCAAGCAGACCGTCTACAATTATACAATTATCACGTAAGGAGGAAGGAGAAACCTGCGATGGATTGAAGAAAGTCTACGAGGAGGCTTGTTGCTGTTGGTGCAGCTCCACTTGGTTATTTGGGTGAGATCATTCCTTTTTATTTATTTATACAGTAGCCCCTGATTTCTCGGATTCCATCAAAGCGAGTGTCACGTCAACACATTCCTACCCATTCCTTTTTTGACTTGCGTTCGAGCGCGGCCGACGCTGGTATGGCCTAGTTTGAGATCACCAGTTTTTACACATTGAGGATGATTGCTAGTCCCAAGCATCGTCTATTGGTTCTCTGTGTAATTACGGCTGACCTGGCAATAACAGAGTAGCAACCGTGGGTGGTCATTAATGCTCATGCTCATGCTAATGATACACAAAGTCACATATATACGATTCGGTTATGATTTGGCAACGAAAAAGTGCTAGGTTCATATTAGAATAAAAAAATATCATGAAAATGTCTCACCATTTAACAAACCCCCATGGAATATCTGTGTAAATACAGAAACGCGACGTGACCAACAAGTGTGACTTATGAAACTCTGGTAATTTCTCGATTATGTGGGGGTGTTTGGTTTGAATCGGTAAAAAAATGAGAAAACTAGAGCCAAATTGACTACAACATTTAGGACGGCAAAATACGTCACAGACGCAAAGGTTAATTTTCAAGAAAATGTGCATTTCAAATGAAAATGCATTAATTTTTTTTTTAAATAATGTTTCATTAAATCAAGGGCGGTATTATTCAATAGAGTCTCATAATGTAAATGTGTTTAATTATGTTTTATTTTTTCAATGTGAATAATATTTAAAGTTTTGAACTAACGTTGCATCGTTAATAAATATATAGTGAATATATGATAACAACTGATAACAAAATTGATTAAAACTGATAACTAAATAATAGGTTGGTACAGGCATAGAAAGTTCTCAATTTAAATGTGAAAGTACTTCAAAGAACACTTAGATGAGAGTAGGCAAAAATCTAATATGTTATAAGCACTAAGCTTGAAATAACATGTAGAAGTATACAAATGGTATTTTTAGGTAATGAAAACATTTTTTTTTTGTCGCGGGTTAGTATTTGAAGTCGCGGATTTCTTCTGGATTCTGGTCAAACACGGAGTAGCAACCATTGATATGTGCAGTCCGTCTAAGCTAAGCTAAGATTATCTAATATAGTTGCAGTTTTCAGGTTTGTACATTGTATGGCATACATTTATATGGCAAATGTCAAAGAAGTCTATAAGAAATCCGATTGGGACTATAGACTATCTATCAGTTATAGGCAAAGGCTAATCAAAGGGGAAAGATAAGCAAACGAGAAATTAATAGTCACGATTCGTTGTTTAGCATATTACTGTTGATAATTTTGTTCTAAAAGTGAATTATGAAGTACATATCCTTAATTTCTAAATACTAAAAGTACAGTGTGGGTGTTCTCTACTACCTTGGTAAGGTTCTGAACTACCATAGTTAGATTCTAGAAGAGCAGCCAATGAACCTTTGTACAGTTAATAGGCAACCGAAACGGATTAAGATATTCGTCGAAAATTAGCGACGATTGAGTGATAATACCCCAACAAACGATTTTAAACAGCTGTTTAAAAGCTGAAAAAATGAAGTTTTAGCTGAAGAAGCATATTTTGGCTTGTTTAAGCTCATATTCAGTATTCAAAGTTTGTTGGGACCAAATTGAATTTTTAACCAGTTTAATAAAGACGCACTAAAAACTCATAATTTTCCTCTTCTTTGGCCTAGTTGCGACTGAATGTAACTATTGTTCCTTTGGTGGAATGATGAATTGATATGTGATATTTTTTAATTAATTTACTCGAGGAATGCTTCATTGTGAATCCAAGTTTTGATATGATCCTCGTTTACATAAAGCGTTGATCCATTTTAATCTTTGACGCGTAGCAACAGCATCAATGCGGAATAAACAGTTTTATGTATCTGAAACAATAGATAGTATTTATTAGATATGGTATAAAAAATACTGGATTTTCAACGTCAGTCATCCAGTGTTCGTTGCAGTTGTATCGAAATTAAATGCATATCCTTTATTGGATTAAATTTTCTTAAAAAACTGTGTACTCATCCAATTTGGACTAGGCATGCTAAAAGTTACAAATTGCAACGCCTCATTATTCGGATTATGATACAGATGGTACAGGATGGTTGAGCAGCACTGCGATCAGACATTTTAAATGTGGTAAATTTTGCAGTTCATAGGGAGACCTTCTTTGAAACTAGGACATAGTTCCGTAAGCTCGTATACTAAGCTATTCAAATATGAACTTTTTCACATAAGCGGGGATCTGGTAACTTTTATTTTTGGGTGCCTGGACTACCTACCTTCAAATATGCAGCCACATTCAGATTTTCCAAAATGGCAGTCAAGATGATGGGGGCTTGGGTTGCAGCTAGCAGGAATTTGACTGATTTTTTATTCTTCAACGACAACTTATACCAATCGAACGAGCCAATTTCTGTTATAAGAATATCACTCTGCAATTGTCAGTATTGTTATGAAATACAAATCATCAAAATTTTCACTCGACCTACCTTCGTTTCATAATAAGATCCAAGAAAACACATGTAAAATATCTGGGATGAGGCAAAGCAGAAAACCACTATGCCGAGGTACCAATCAATCTGAGGACAAAGAAGAATGATTTTTACATAATTGCACTATAAACGTTAATCTTTACTTCGAGTTATATTTCAATATAAAATTTTAGGAATGGTTCTATCCACGACTCGTGTTTATTGACTCTCCTAAGAATCAGTTTGTATGGAGTTGAGCCCACTCTAGAAACCTGCTACATATTATGCATTTTCATAACTCACCAATACGAAAGCAGCCAACGAGATTGACATGTTGAAACAAAGTGAAGCTATTGAGATCAAAAAGTATAAATTTAGTTCATTTTCCACTTGTCTCATGAAGAGTTGATGGTGTTGATGAAACTTGATTATTTTCTGCAATTGATTGTCGATTATTTGTCCTTCAAGCTCTAGCATCATCATAGCATCCAACTGTTTCAGAAGTCCTATGATAGCATCGATTTGTCCAGTGGCAGTGAGAAGATATAAAATAAATGTCCCATCGGTAACAATTGTAAGGAATGCCACATAGTAAGCACAATTGGCTTGGAATAAACTGTTCACCGCGTACGCTGACCATGCATCGGAATGAATTGCCTCGAAACCAAATGAGAGAACTTGCTTGGATGTTATCAATCCATAAACCATTGGCGCTAGCCCAATGATACCAACGAGCACGCAGTATCCGTAAATGGTGAGCGTGAGTAGAACATTATTCAACATGGCGCTTGGTTTCAACGCTTTCTTCACTGTTTTATCTTGTATTATATCCAAACTGAAAAATTTCACATTCATTTCATGGATTTCAATTATCTTGGCTCGTCTTAAGATAAATGAGTAAATTTTGGACGCAGCCTAAATAAAAAAAAAAAAAAAAACATTATTTTCGTCACGCTAATTAAGCTGTCTTTTACCTGAGTAGAGAATCCAAACGTAGTTATACATGACAAAGATTTTCCGATATCATTTCGGTAATAATAAGTGGAAGTAACTACCAGATAAACATTAATGAACAGCGTGCTAACGCCCCAGAGAAACTTGAAATTACAAATTTGTAACTTGCGACGAAACAAATTGATTCCCATAAAATCACTGAAATAATCTATGCGTTCGACCGTATTGCGATAGGCAATATCTGCACCTGAGTAGTCAAGTTGAAAAACGTTATAATTCTGAAGTTTTTGAATGAAATCCATTTTCATTGATTTAGGTTCCGTTTCAAAATATGAACTGATGGTTTGAATTACAAGTGCAACAATTTTTATACTCGTTCAAAGGAGGTGACTATGATGAACATGATTTCACAATTCTGCGATGGCTTTACCATATTGCCTGAGCAAAACACATCAAAGAACAATTTCACAAGAATTACCTTGCAAATTTCACATTAATATCGTTTCAAGTTCTGTTAGTGCTTTGTAAGTTATGAGAATAATTAATTATTAATTTCGATACAAATATGGGTTGTGTCAGTTTCTATAAGCACAAGTTTAACAAGACGCCATGTGAATCATTTTTTATCGAGAACGAGCTTTTAGAGGATCCGCGTAGATTAATACAGCTCTCCTATTATTATCAGAATAGTTGGATACCCGACCGTACATTAGCGGAGCGGGCAAAATATACGTTGGCATGATAGAGAGAACTTGTATTGTTTTACCTTTGACTACGTCTTTGATTTCTACATGGGGGTACACTTTGTGAAAACCGAAAATGGAACATGTAACAAGCTAAGAAAGGTTTTGAAAGTCAATAACTCAGCTACCCTTGGTCCAATTTCATTAATTTTATCACCAATCGATCAGAAATATGGCTACGCATCGATAACAATGCTTCCGAATGTTGATTTTCAACAAGAAACTATTGAATTGTCCTATTGTCCAAAAGCGTCGAATTAACTAACAAATCCACCAATTACCTACATGCATATGCTGCTTTCCCAGCACAGTCATCAGAGACTAGTAAGTAGACGAAACAAGTCGAAGTGGCATTCGCCTCCGATCCTCGGGCGCGTGCGAATAGGGAGGATGGAATTGCGTAATATTTTGCACACTCATCGCCATACTCAGAACCACACGCTCCCAACGACCACACCACTGCACACTGGGGACAAAATCGAAACAATGTGTTAAAATTCAATAACTTCGGTGCTCGCTGGAACAAGAGACTAAAAAATAGTCATTCTTATAGAAAAAAGTCTCAGAAATCGATTGGAGTGGGTTTCATCTTGGGCACGATAGGGTAAGTTGGGGTTTTTCACAGTTTTGCCCTAAAATCTCCTATTTTACATGATTTGAATGCTGTATCTCAAGATACCGATGATATAGACGGATGATTTCTTGGGCAAAGTTGATCAGGAGATCAAGGACTGTTGAATGATGGACAGAACAATTCGGAATTCTTCCGCTAGGCGGCGCTAGTGATTATTGAAAGTGAATATATTTGTGCTGCTGTATCTCAAGATCCTGACTATTTAGACGGATGATTTCTTCGGCAAAGTTGAACAGGGGGTCAAGGATTGTTGGATGATGGACAGAACAATTCGGAATTCCTCCGCTAGGTGGCGCTAGTGATTATTGAAAGTGAATATATTTGTGCTGCTGTATCTCAAGATCCTGACTATTTAGACGGATGATTTCTTCGGCAAAGTTGATCAGGAGGTCAAGGACTGTTGGATGATGGACAGAACAATTCAGAATTCTTCCGCTAGGCGACACTAGTGAGCATTGGAAGTGAATATGTTTGCGCTGCTGTATCTTAAGATCCTGACTATTTAGACGGATGATTTCTTCGGCAAAGTTGATCAGGAGGTCCATGACTATTGGATGATGGACCGAACAATTCGGAATTCCCCCGCTAGGTGACGCTAGTGAGCATTTGAAGTGAATATGTTGGTACTGCTGTTTCTCAAGATCCTTACTTTTTAGACGGATGATTTCTTCGGCAAAGTTGATAAGGAGGTCACGGAACAATCCGGAATTCTCTCGCTAGCTGGCGCTAGTGAGCATTTGAAATGAATATGTTTGTGATCCAGATTCAAGGAATCAACCTCTGCAAAAAACTGCTCAAACATGGACTTGGCGAGTTGGTCTCTTTAGTCCAATTAATGAGCGTATTCTGCAGAACGAATCTGACTGGGGTTTCGGGTTCCGCCAAATATCCTCTCATAAAATGCTCGGAGAGAAGAGAATCATCCTCTTTTAAAAAGCTAGTCTGGTTGTAGTGCGTAAAATCTGTAGCAGAGTCCGGACCAGCCGTGACATGCAATTTACAAGTCAACACTTTCTGGTTTAACTTTGAAATCCTGTCTGCTACATCATCCAGTTGTAGAATCCGTTGCAAATCGCATATAACCATATCACGGATTGAAACGCTTGATGATAAGTATTCTTTTTCTCGGTTTGGAGTTGAGAACGGTGGAATTATGGCGTTTCTAAATTCAGCTACTTTTTTCCAGGGCTGCAAAATTGCAATACCTAAATGGGACAATATGAAGGGACTTATAACAATGCACATCTCTAAAATTGATCAAAGATTTAGAAACTTGACCTATTTTCAACAAAAAATTGTTCTACTAAGTTTTTTTTTTATATATACGTTAATTAAACTGTCATTCCTAGATGCTTCTTAGTGAATCGAGCCAGCTCTCCATATTTGGTTTTACTTAACCCAAGTTTTGATTTTATCACCAAAGATGACTCCTCCGAACACAGAGATGTTCCACGAACAGAGTCAACGGATTCGATGGTCTCTTTTGCCCAAACCTCACCGCCGCTCAACAAGTGCTGTAAGATTTGAGCAGTTGCTGGATTAGCAGCCTTTATGGCAGCAATTTTGGCTGAATACTGCAAGTTATCAAGAACTTGTTCTTTGAAAAGTCGGATACTGCGTCTTTATTTCGAAAATCTTGTCAACTTCTCCTTGCGCTTTCGACCTCGAGGCTTTAGGGTTGACGGTCTTCGCTGACTGTTGGAACTGGTATCCAAATCCGGAGTGGCAAAAGGAGGTGAAATAGGAGATGATTATGACGAGGGATCTTTGGGTTTCCTTGAATGAACCCGCGTATTTTTCGAAGGCCTGGATCCTGAGGGTTGGTCTTCGACCTGATAAAATAATTGATGATGAATTATATTCAAGCATTTTTTCGTAAAATTTGGAGTCGGTAGTTTTTGTTTAGGATTTTTTATAAAATATTCATACAAATATCAAATCTTCTTTTAATCGCGGTTGATGCTATTGATTATTTAGTAACATGAACAAAAACAGATTTCATCAGTAGTATGTCTTGCTTTACATTAACACATTTCCACGTTTTTACTTCGCTCAACAGGTACAATTTTTTTCCGACCTGTTAATTTTTTTAATGTTCGACGGTATCGTATTAAAAACGTTTACTCGTTAATTTATGCTACTCTCTAAAATTAAGCACGCCCAGGGATTCTTACCTCGAATATGCTTTCAAGCCACTCTGCATTCTTCTTAAAGAATCGATCCTTACTGTGGGTTTGTGACCATCACCGATTAAATTGACCAATCCAGTTTTTAACACCTTGCGCAACAGCCGCAGGTGCTTTCGACAGTGCCCTAGACACAAAGTCAAGTAAACGGTTCTCTAAATTGTCCTTGAGTTCAGATCAAATTCTCATCCAGGTTCACAGATTCAAAGCCCTTTGTATTAAAGCATCTCCAAACAGGGTTAAACATATCATGCACATTATTTACGTTTGAATTCGATATGTTTAAGACGTTCTAGGTTCACCAAATTGTCCTCAAAACTTGTTAATTAGGCTACCATCTTGCATTTTAGTTTGATTAAATTCATAGATCAGGGGGCCTCCATAAGCTCGGTCGGTAGAGTCTGCTATTATAAAGCAAACCATGCTGTAGGTGGCTGGGTTCGAATCCCGGTTGGTCTAGTATTTCAGATTGGAAAATTTCTCGACTTCCCAGGGCATAGTATATTATTGTACTTGCCACACAATATACACATGTTAAAATCGAACAGGCTTGGAAAGCTTTCAATTAACAACTGTGGAAGTGCATCTAGAGCACTAAGTTGAGAGCAGGCGTTAAGTTACAGTTGGGACGTAATAGCCAGAGAAGATCATAGATAGCTCTAACTAGCGGAGGAATTCCGAATTTTTCTGTCCATCATCCAACATTCCTTGACCGCTGATCAGCTTTGCCGAAGAAATCATTCGTGTAAATAGTCAGGATCTTGAGATACAGCAGCACAAATATATTCACTTTCAATAATCACTAGCGCCACCTAGCGGAGGAATTCCGAATTGTTCTGTCCATCATCCAACAATCCTTGACCCCCTGATCAACTTTGCCGAAGAAATCATCCGTCTAAATAGTCAGGATCTTGAGATACAGCAGCGCAAACATATTCACTTCGAATGCACACTAGTGTCGCCTAGCGGAAGAATTCCGAATTGTTCTGTCCATAATCCAACAGTCCTTGACCTCCTGATCAACTTTGCCGAAGAAATCATCCGTCTAAATAGTCAGGATCTTGAGATACAGCAGCACAAATATATTCACTTTCAATAATCACTAGCGCTACCTAGCGGAGGAATTCCGAATTGTTCTGTCCATCATCCAACAATCCTTGACCCCCTGTTCAACTTTGCCGAAGAAATCATCCGTCTAAATAGTCAGGATCTTGAGATACATATTTACTTCGAATGCTAACTGGCACCACCTAGCGGAGGAATTCCGAATTGTTCTGTCCATCATCCAACAGTCCTTGACCTCCTGATCAACTTTGCCCAAGAAATCATCCGTCTAAA